TTCATTGTATTGTCTGTGTTCTCTTGAATCTCACTGCACTACCTTAAAATAATTATTATTTTTAATTCTTTTTCAGGTAACTCACAGATCTCCATTTCTTTGGGGTTAAGTACTGGAAAATGATTGAGTTCCTTTGGTGCTATCATGTTTTCTGGCTTTTTCACTTTTCTAGTGATTTTGCATTGATATCTGCATTTGAAGGAGCAGTCACCTCTAATAGTTTTTTGGACTGACTTTGCTCAGGAAAGACTTTCACTTGAAGTTGGCTGTGAGCGCTTTGGTCGAGTGGGGAGCAGCATCTCTAATTTGGGAGAGGGCACAGTGGCATAATCTCTGTACAGCTCCATCAACTGAGGTCAGCATTGGCAAAGACTGTAGAGGTCTTCAACGGTCAAGACTGTGGAGGTCCTGCAAGTGCCAGTGGTATCTAGGGCTCTTGGAGTCCTCAGTGGCAGAGGCTGCTAGGGTCTTCCTATTCTCCTTTTATTCTCTGTGAGAGGACGTTCTAGCCAAGGGAATCCCTCATGGCTCCAGGTCTGGTGCACTGGCACTCAGAGCAGCAGTAAAGCTGGAGTCAGGTACATATGGAACTACCACAGTGCCTCGGTTTTAGGGCACAGGTATACTTGCTGCAATGGTAATGCTAGAGTCTTAGGTTCAGGCATATTCACCTATAGACCAAGGTACCGAGGTCTGAGTCTCTGAAACTCACCACAGTGTTTGGACCCCAGCCTTAGGTTCAGGCATATTCACCTATAGACAGACCAAGGTACCGAGGTCCGAGTCTCTGAAACTCACCACAGTGTTTGGACCCCAGGACTGGGGGACATAGCAGTGGCTTGGGCCGTGGGATAACAAGGTACATCAATGGCTAGGGTACAGTAGCAGCATGCCCTGGAGATAGGGGTCAAAATCCTCACTCTGGCCCCAGCAGCAAGAGCTCAGCCTCAGTGATGCCAAGTCAGCACTATGACTCAGGACGTAAGGGATGGAGCACAGAGCTGCAACAGCGCTTCCCAGTCATGGCAAGGCAGTGCCATGACTTAGGACCCAGGAGGTGGGCCAGAGAGCAGCAGCTTTAGTAGCACAGCCAGTGATAGTAAATTAAAGCCGAAACTTAGAATCCCAGAGGAAGGGCACAGAGAGCAGCAGCAGCTCCTGTCCCAGAGATGATGAGGTGCTGTGGCATTCTCGATCTCAGAGGGTGAGGCACAGCATCAAGTGGGGCCCCTGGAGGCAGGTCTCACAGTAGCAACAGGCCCCAGTCCCAGTGAGGAGATGCAGCAGTGGGGATTCCATGCAGCTCCATTAGCTGGTTTCGGTGTTGGTGAAGACTGGGGGGTTCCTCAGTAGCAGAGGCTTCAGATGTCCATAGCAGTGATAGACTTTCTGAGGTTCTCCTGCTCTTCTTTTCCTGGGGGATGAAATTCATCTGAGGGAGTCCCTCTTTGTACTGAGCTGCTCTGAATCGGAGGTGGGGTGATACAGATAAAATGCTTTCTGTACTACTATCTGGCCATGCTTGGTTTTTGAGCTCCACAGGGTTCTGCTTCTTTGTTGCAGTTCAGAGCTTTCCCAGAGCTGTTTTTTTAATGTTTGTAGTTATTTTGTTGTGGTGGTGGTTTGGAAAGATGAGCTTTGAGAGCTTCTAGCCTGCCATCTTGCTGATTTCAGTCCCTATAATGAAATTCTTGTTTTATTTAAAGTTTAAAAGAACAGGAAAGAATCAGGAAAGATAGTAGTGAGAATAAAGTGTAAGCCTGAACTCAGAGGATTAGAGATTTTATCTACAGTTTAAGCTCTGTTAATTAGGCTATGGCATAAATAACACACAGTCATATTCAACTTGGAATAACGGGATATATTTTGTAGCATATTTACCTTTTGCTTACGATAAGTATTAATCTTTTGTAATATTTGCGATGACCCACAATAAAAACAGAAGTAAGCCAGTTTAGTATTTAAATGTTTTCTTTAACTTATCCATATGCAGATAAGGAAAAAAACCTCATATTTTAAAAGTACATAGTTAGGAATTAATTTCCCCACCAGTGCACAGTGCAGTAGATAGAATCTCTGTCTGTTTATGCAGATATATTGAGGTTCCGGTAACAGGTCATAATTTGGGACCGAAAGAATAAATGAATGTCACAAATTCGAAGCTAGCTTGACCCTCAGTTAAAAGTAAAAGCCTAGGAACTACAGTTGGTTCTTGAAAAAATGTATCATCTTTGTTGGTAACTTCGAGAGATACTAAAATGTCTGAACAACGTGAACTCAACAATTTACAGTAGGAGCAACTGGTAGTAGAGTACAAAGTTTTATTAAGTCAAATAAAGCGTAAGTGGTATATAGAGGCTGGCTTGTTAGGGAGGTCTTATTGTATTATTGATTAATTTATACTTTTCAATAGCGGAGTATGGTCTTGGCTGTTTCTGGTCAAGGTCTGCAGTGTCTGTGAAGGTACAGAACTGGGAATCATACAATCCGACAGTAGAGAGTAAGTGCAGTCCGAAGTGTTTCATGAGAATGTGGCCTCTGGAAGGCCCTCACACCGAGCAATGTTTAAATTTAGTTTCAACATTCACAACACAAATAAAGAGAAATTCACAGTTGACACAAAGATGAGTTGTCTTCATCCATCTTCCTTTAAAGTTGCTTACTCTGGAAAGGATGCCAAATTTGCGACGTTCCCATAATCACCCTACACAGACAGCATACATGCTTTGTACATCAAAAGGAAAAAGCAGTGACTCAGGGCGGAGGACCCTAGGGGATTGGTTTGCTGAAATTGCTCTTCAGTGATTACACATGCATGTTTGTTTCTTCTTTATTTTAGAATTAGAATAGTAAGAACTTATTCCAGAAACTTATTCCAGAAATCTGGGTCAGCTCTAAAATTTTCTTTGTCTCATCAAACTTGGCTACTTGAGGATCTGTTATTAAATAAGCCTGTAATCTTTTAGTTGTTTGCAAACAATAACGATAAAACATCTGCGATGGTGACTTGATCTCTGAAAAGTAGACTTTTCAATACGAGAGAGAACCATTTCATATTGCACACCCTGGAAGGAATAAACTTGGTGATTTCTGAGGTGGATTCAGCCAAGACTCTTCTCCTGAGCCAAAACTTTTTTCAAGCAAGGCTCACTTCACCTATTTACCTTTAAGAGAAATCAGCTTTACTCCTAGGTCCATTTATCTCCATATAAAACATCCTTATGTTTTAAATATTATGTTATGTTAAAGGTTGTCACTGTGGTTATAAAATTTAAAACATCAAGATCAAGAAACTGAAAGTATTACTTTGGCATAAGGCTCTCTAAGGCAGCCTTGGTGGTAGGGGCTGTTTCACGGCCTGAGGCTCCCCTGCCTGTGGTTGTGGGAAGATACGCTGTCCATTCCTGCAAGTTATTTGCGGCTCTCTGAGGAACTCATTTAACACTGTTCTCCAATGCATGATCTTAGGAAGTAGAATTGGAATTTTCTAGTCCTTGTGAGAATGTTCGCTTCAGTCCAGAAGTGTCCTATGGCACAAAAAGCCTGCTGTGAGGAACAGGCTCACAGAGAGTCCTGAGGACTGACACTTGGAATGTTCCACTGTTTTCTCATCCTTGATATACTGATCCAGAGTGAACTGCGTAACAGCATAGCCAACTGATGAAATTTCAGCCAGGACTCCAAAGCCTGACAACCATAGTAAATCCTGTGTTAGCAGGATATTTGGAGGGATGGTTTTGAAGTTAATTGAATTTTATGATTAACAGAAAGTTATCCAAAAAAAGACATTTTTGTTTCACCTCGTGTTGATAGAAGTCTTTCTAAAAAGCTTGGGTTTCACTTTTTTTTCCCAGTGTAATTAAAAACTAGTTTAATCACCTTTTTAGAATTAAATTCTACAGTATCTTTATAACATTATCTTAATCATAAAAACTAATTTTATATATCTCCTATAATATGGCTGATGAAGGTCAGTTTATTGAACTGAAAGTATCCAGGCTCCAGAACAGCCTCAGACATATTCACTCAAGGAAAAAAAATTCCTATTATAAGATTTTGTCATTTTTTCCATTTTTCTGAAAACAGATTGTAGAAAAATTTCACCTAATTGAGGGTTATGAATTCTCTGAATGCAACTGTTCCAAGTTTAAATGATGAAAAATGTGTTGGTGAAAGAGTAATTTTATTCCTAAGTCCTGAATTTTAGTTCTGCTTCACTCTGAGTCTCATTATGAGACTCAGGACAAGTCACAGAGGTCCTGTATAGCCCAGCTCTTCCAGCTCTGAAATGCAGAATATATCTCTTGGGATGAAAAGTCATGCAGTTCTACTTTCTTTACTGGAATATATTATATTATTGTAATTAGTATCCACTTTTCCATTTCCTTTTATGGGAATATTTTATCACATCATGAATATCCATATATACATCTATATGTACACACATGTATATAAAATTATGTAAGATGCAAGTTTTCTATTATGTCTATAATGTTCAGAACTCCTTAGAGACCATCATATTTTAGGGGGGAGGAAAGGCCTTTATTAGTGTCTGTTCCCATACCTTTTCACTGAGACTATAAATTAGGCCTGGGAAGGCTATAATGAGTCAGTAATTTATAGACTATTAAGATACTTAGTTAGAAGTGATTCTTGAGCATGTCCAATAGAGAACACATGTTTATAAAGAACAAACAGATTCAACACAACATGTCTTTGGACCAACCAAGCCCAATCAATTAACAAAATGGGATGTCTTATTTTTGCGTATCTCCCACTCCCCCAAAATAGAATCACTAACCACTTGTTAACCACACTGACCTTTTAATAGACAAAGCGGTTGCTCTAGCTTTGCCACCAGAAATGTTCAGATTAAGCAGCCTATTAGATTGTAGGCAGCAGAGTCTACAAAATGGGAAGAAAGCTCTGCTTGCTTTTTTGCCTCCTTTCCCGTTTGACTTGGTGTGATAATTCATTGCAGATTTCTTTTTCTTTGACAGAGTGCCTACCGCAGGAATGGGATGGCTTTTCTAGCCTGCTGATGTGACTGTGACTGCAACAACAGAAGAGGCAATGTTCTAATAAGATGATTCCTATTCCCCTCTTTGGACAAAATAAAATACAAGTTTACCTTCTCTGCCTCCTCAGGAGTGCGTTGGTTTGTTGTGACTATCCACTGGCTGACTCCAGCTCTTTTCCAGCCCCCTCAACGCCTAGTCTTGTTTACTAGATGGGCCGTTTAGCTAATTAATGGCAGGATGTTTGGGATAGCATGTAGGTGGACAAGAATGCAGATCACACAATTTTGAAATTTTAATTTGGAATGGATTTACTGCCCTCAGCTCACATATCTGAAAAGCAGTGTCTTTTTTTCCCAGTGTTTAGTCTATGTTTTACTCGATGCATTTTGTAATCCAAGTTTGAGACAAAGGAAACAAAATTAAAAGGACAGTCAGTTGTCCCCTTGTACTATCCCACCAACTTTAGATTTGTTGCCCATATCTACATGTATTTTAGAGTCAAATATCCCTTTTATAAACATAGTACTCAGAGACCTAGTTGACCTAATGAACTCTCTGTTCCCATCTTTTCTTCCCTTCACCCCACTTTTACTGTATGTGTCATTTTCATGCCTTCTTCCCAACTTGCTGCTTATCTGCCTACCATGTGTGTTTTTCCTCACATAGATTCTCTTCCCTGCCTTCATTTCTTTCTTTTCCCTGTCCCCACAGTCCCCAAGCCCACCACTCACACACATATAATACCCATTTAGAAGCAAAGTAATTAGAATCAGTACAAGAAGGGGAGCCGAGTGATTTGCTTTCTCTCTTCAAATTACCACCCCACGTAGACTGGAAATGCAGACGGGGTAATTTCTGCTGGTAGCAGCTAAGCTACCCTTCTGGCATCTATACTTTCTCAATAAATGAGGAACTTTAACTCTTGGGAACAAACCAAAATATAGCAGATGTGATTGTGCAGTTCCTGATTTAACTTGAATTGCAAAAAAAAAAGGAAGTTATTTCTTCAATTCTGGAGTTTTGTGTAATTTTACTTTTTTCATGCTTTTTTACACACACCGAAACAGCCTTTGTAAAGAATTAATATTAATAGAAATGAAAAGCATGAAAGATTTTCATCCTGTGACCAAATCATTGTGAAGCTCAGTTAATATGATTGTGCCATGTTATTCACATTTGTTAACTATCATTTACCTGTTCTATGTTAGTCCTTCTGGAAAAAATCTTTGTCAAGAACAAAAAATGCAGATATATAATATCAAAAAATTGCCAAAGGGTTTTGATGTTCCATCTGTGCTTGTTGAAATATATGATTAAACTTTTCTTTTTATCATCATTCTTATTTTTCTTGGCGTCCCTAATCATAGAAAATTACAAGCTTGCAGTAAACATCCTAACTTTTAAAACGACAGCATTTATTGTATTTGGTTTCGATCTGCCAGGCTTATTGATGTATAAAATTTTCAGGGGCTAATTTTTCACATCAAAATTCCTTCTCTCCCACATTATACATTTTAAAGTATGCACAAGGCAGAAAATACAGGGTTTAGATTTTTTTCTCTTCATTTTATTCTACCTGATCTCCTTATAGTCCCAGAGAAGGAAGACTCAATGTACATTTCTCTCAGAAATATGACAGGTCTGTGTTTTTGTTGGTCTGGCGTATGTTTGTCTATCTTGAACAGTCTGACAGGTAATTATTTATAAAATCTGGTTTTGCCCAGTAAGTCCATATAATAACCTTTCACTTTTCATCATAAGCCAGTGAGCTGAATTTAGAATAAAACAAGGTCATTTATGTCTGTCTTGAACCAGCCTACATGTCCCCATAATTGCTCAATATTAGTATTTTTAATTCTTTTTTTCTTTTCTACGCTTGGGTTCTTTCTCTGACTCTTTCCACAACGCTAAATTGGAAGTGAAATAAGATTTCCTTAAGCAGTGAATGTAGGAAAGAAAAAAAGAAGAAAGTTCATAGAAGGAAATTTTCAGAAAATGTGAAAATTTGTGACATCAACAAATTTCTAAAGATTAAAATGTTATGTAGAATCATAAAATGTTAGAGCAAATGATGGTCTTAAAGGTCATTGAAAACAACCACTCATTTTACAGATGAAAAAACTTGGCCTGGAGAAGGAAACTGACTTTCTCAAGGTCAGTCAGTAATGGTAGTGACAACCGGAGACCAAATCTATGGTCTCTGATTCTCAGTCTGGTAATCTACTTCATCATACTGGATTTGCATGAGACATTACCAAGACACATCTGGGTTTTATGGCTTTTTTTTTTTTTAGACAGACAATAACCTAAAATTATAAAAAGTGATACTAATTGTAGACACATCCTAAAGCCTAAGTGTTATATTACAATTTTCTTCAAAGGGACTGTGGTATTAATTAAATAATCTGTGTAATATGTAAATTATAAATCAATTTTTAAAAAGAGGTCTGCAGGCAAGGGAGAGGAGAATTAACACACTTTGAGCACCTACTTTGTGTCAGGAATCTCACCTCTGGTATTTCATTTATCTTCACAATGACTATGAGGTAGATACTATGAAACCAACCCAACAAACAGAAAACAAACAAAAATCAGGCTTAACTCCAAATCAAATGTCAGTATACCAGATAGTTTCTATTTTCGTAGCTACGTGTTTTGGAGATCAAACTGGAAATAAGTAAAACTAAAAAATAAGTAAATAGTCTCTCTTATGGGAAATTGACATTGTCTCATAGACTTGAGGGTAAAGGAAAGGGAAATATTTCTTCTTTCACCTAAATCTGGAAATGTGACTTGCCAAACGTGTCATTTTAAGGCTCTGTCTTTAACCTTCCTGCCTTCACATATTGCAACAGTTAAGATTCAAAAATAATGTTCCAATTTTAGAACCAAGAATTTTTATTTAAAAAACATCAGAAGCATGAATATTTTTTTGATGCTGTATATAATTTCTGTATCTGGGGAAAATTCTTCATTTTTTACTGTTTGTTCTTTGTTTCTATAAAATAGTAAACAATCCAAATTTAATGCTTTAATGATGTAGAAGACAAACATAACTGGTGATTCTTGGTCTGAAAGAAAACAAGTTTGCTTGGCTAATAATTATAAAGTTTAATTTTATGAAAAACATTTTATATAGTTCCCAAATCAGATATTTCTTTCCAGTTCATATAACCCCTTGTGTAAAACTGAATCACTCCAGAGAAAGTATTCCCTCATCTGCCCTCCTGGAATTTAGATAGAATTTTCCCAGGTCGCATTTAAAATTTTACCATCAACCATGTATACATCTCATAAAATATTTTACAGTTTCCTGTATGCTCTGGCTGAACGTTTCATAGTACATAAACACTTCTGCAAATAATATAAGGGCATCAGGTTGAATATATCATAGCAGTGGCCCCCACATAAAGTTGATTGTTCAGCAATTTATTTTCTCATTTTTATCTTCTTATTTGAATGCCAAGATGAAACCGTGTGCTCTTATGCTACAGTTGCAGGGGATTGGGGGGGATGCTAGCAGTTTTAGTGGAGCTGTATTCATTAAAGCAAAGGCTTTCTGCAGAGGGCATCAAGCCAAGCTCAAACAACAAAACCATGCCTGCAGGAATTGGATGTAAATGTGATGGTTAAATAAGGGCCAGATGCCTTTAAAAAGTCAAATATTAAAAAGTCATATCTCTTAAAGCAAGTCTCTAACGTTGTGAGTAGAAGAGTGATACCATAGCACTTTTAAAAAAGAGAGACTTGCATTTGTTTTCTGGAACAAAGTATCAAATATTCGAGCTGTCATAAGTCATGGGAATTTTGGCAGTTGTAGCATATTTTAAAACAATCAGCTCCTACAAAGTCGTAAGAAACCCACATACAATATTTCATTGTTGGAAACCACCATAATTCTGTATAGAGCCTTATATTCATGGTCCCTTTTCTGCTCATCACCACCCAATATTCACTATTCTCAGTTTTTCAGATGAAAATAAAAATAGAAAAAGATACAGGAAAAACCCAGAATCAAGATGATTACTTATATAATCAGGCAACACTTTACTTGCTATTAAAAATGATGATATATTGTATCAGCGTTTTACTAATAAGCCTGACATAATAATTATAGCCCACCGCGTGCCACCCTGTATGCTAAGCACTTTGTGTGGGTTGTCTCATTAAATTCTCACAACCCAGCTACGAGATATGCACTATAGCTCTACCCGTTGCCTTTAGGCTGTAGGGAAGAAACTGAGGAACAGAAGGTTCAGTGGCTTATGCAGAGGTACCCAAGGTGGAGCTGGCATCCGTACCCAGCGCTTTGACCCCAAAGCTCGTGCCCTTCACCACTGTTACACGCACAGCATGGAGTACAGACTCCTCACAGCATGTTGAAGAGAATTGCTGTCTGAACCTAGAAACTCTTCTCAGTACCAAAAAACTTGATTACAAGAAAATTTCATTGTAACTTAGCATTCTTTCTCTAAGGCCAAGTATTGTATATATTATAGAATATCATATAATGTATAATAGAACATAATTATATAGAACGATGCCAAGTCCTCTATAATGTCTTAAACCTTAAGGTAAATACGTATGATCAATACACATACTAAGAATCCCTATACAAATTATGAGAAAAACTTCCTCAAAGATCCATGTGTACAAAGCCCCTCCTTTGTGAAGACTGTATCTCCAGAAGGCTTTAATTATGTAGGCTTCTATTTTATGCTTTCATGCAAGGTATTTATCTCATGTCCTAAAATAATCCCCATCTTGTTTACGTGTGTTTGCAGTGACAGATACAGAAGTACATATGGCAGTCCCTCAAAACTTTATGTAAATGCCCCTTTTAGGTGTTTGCTCGTTAATTACGATATAGTCACTTGTTTCTCCAAGCCCAGGATGTTTGTGTGTGTGCTTGGGGGGAGTGGTGGACAAAGATAATAAAGCGGAAAGAAAGTTGCTGAGCACAATTTAAATTAGAAGTGATGATTTTTCCTCACTCATCAGTAGTTAACAGCTTTTTAAATTCAAGCCCAGGTCTGTTCTGCCTCAGGACAAGTCACTTTCTGATTTATGTTCTTTAAGATCTCAACTAGCAGTGCACCAACCTTTGGTACTGC